GTGGTAATTTGAATAAAATACATGCATCTAATCGATAAATCCTGTGTGAAATATTGGTGATAGTATAGTATTTATACAAGGGATACTACCCCTAACTCAGGTCTTATATGGTCAAGAAATTAAAATGTCTGTATTGAGAAAATATCGTTATCTGATATGAGATAAAGGGTTCTAATACGAGTGTTTAAGTTCATTTGTATCAACCTGGGCTGCATCTCTTGCTATATGGATACCCTATGCTATACTGCTATATAGAGCTAAAGGTTCGCTGTGAACATTGTGGATGGCTTGGCATTGCTTTGGCAAGTATTGCTAACAGTCCATATACAAAATTGTTTGGCAGGGTGACCGATTTCATTGATACTGGTGATTGTTTTGCAGTATTCCCGAGGGCCATTGTCATTGGGGTGCTGTATTTCATATCATCACTGCTAATGATAATAATGAGTTTGACAGTGGTCATGTAAGCGAGATGGGTCAAACTAGCCTGTTCATGATGTGCATATTGAATGACATGATCATGGGTCGGAAATAATCACTATATATGTACTAGTGCATATGAATGGTGTGAATGGTCCACCAGGGTGTCAGGTACCTCCTGTGTCGTTGCAACACGAGATTGAGCCGAACTTTTCACTTAGGCTGATCACAAGACTGCGTTTTGTTAGCGTCCACACCAAATGAAACTGTCATCTGTGTGTTCTGAGTTAACAAGTGAATCTCCTGACTAAAAAGTCAGACAATGAAAGTGTCCTCTATAGAATCATGTCTACAACAAAGTTAGATAAAAATAGGGAAAATGAGCAACTGTGATGAACAACACATGGCGTAATCAAATCTGATGACAGCTCATAATAAGCTCTAACTCGGCCAGTAGTAATCGCGTACTTTTCTCTGGTACACCATTTATAGACAGACACTGCCACAGAACCTCATGCATAGTAGAGTCAAATGCCATTCTTCGGTGAAGGAATACAACAGTCGCTGGTTGCCGCAAATTGCGTTTAAATTACTGAAGTTGAAGGAAAGTGAATATTTGGTCAACATATCCACGTTCAGGTCTGAAACCAATTTCATGTGTTTTCGTGTTTTACTCTTTACAAGCTCCAATTAGGCGTTACAGTATTATTGGAGTTAATATTTTGGATGACAGTTCATAATAAGCTCTACCTCGGCCAGTAGTATTCGAGTAGAGAGCTTGTATAAGGTTTATGAACTTCTCTGGTACACCTTTTATCGATAGACACTGCCACAGAACCTCATTCATAGTAGAGTCAAATACAACTGTTGTTGGATGCCGACAAAATGCGTTTACATTAAAGAACTTGAAGGAAAGTGAATATTTGGTAGGTATATACACGCCCACGTCTGAAACCAATTTGATGTGTTTTCGTGTTTTACTCTTCACAAGCTCTAATCTGGGGTTGAAGTATTATTGGAGCTAATATTTTCTGAATACTATGTTGTGATTTTCACAAGATGAAGGTTGTCACTTCTCAAACAAACACTGAGACGATCAGTGATGGAGAGGTTGCATTAGTTTAAGAGATTCTAAGATAAAATCAACTATAGAAAATAGCTGAAATAACTCACTCATTTGTAACACAAAATCAATAGCAACTGTGAATTCGATCAGTGAAAAATGATAATCTTTACGGTAGCCTATCCAAATCGTGCACATTCGCGATATTTCTACAGTTGAAATAAATTTATTCTTACCAAAGCTACGTTCATTTACGCTAAAATAATTTGTATTAGCTTAATACTACTCTTTATTTCCTACAACGAACATCACACCACCTACACAAGTTTATGCTGATTTGAACTGTAATAAGAAAGTAGAACAATTGTGTCACAGATAACTTAGTCATTTCTAATCCGATTGATTTTTCATTGAAATCAAAAAAGATTCATTATCACATTCTATCTAGGTACCAATTTTTTCGAATGTATGAAGATAGTTCGAGTGTTTATTAACTTGACAGAAAATTTATGCAGTTTATATAAAAACGATTCTTGAAATCATGAATCAATCATTGTTAGAATACCATTAGACACCTGGAATCACCTCACAGCCGCTTCGCACTGGTGTGGGATTCATCGGTGGTAGTGCGCATCCACAACTCTTGCTACTAGCAATCTCTTTCCATAACTCTATAACGAAAAATCGTACAATGTGTTCACTAGTGACTAGATTCATGAGCTAATTCTCGGAGTTCTAGTCAGAAGACGTGAACAGTGGAGCTCAACCCTGTCAGATGTAGGCAGTAACTACCGAAGATAATGGGTAAAGTTGTGCGAAATCCGTAGGTTTGTAGTGCCTCCACATAAACTTGAGTTCGCTCATATTCAATTTGATTACGCTTTTTGATTAACTTATGTAACCAAGCTATTTGTTGAGCAACAACTCATATGTACCATCGGTATTTTTTATTATCTGCTTTGTATGAGCTTGTACGACTGAGCATTACTTACGCCTACGCGCTTACTCATCCTTTTCGCTTTAATGTTAATCTCTTAATATCCCCATGAACTCACATGATTTGTATCCCTTGCTTTTGACCTTGTCAATCATTCGTCGCTTTTATTCATGTGTGTACATAGCTATTTCGCTTGTCATATGTCTGTCTTATTTTTGTCTGACTATATATTCTTAGTCATACTCTATCTCTTTGCCTTCTCCAACGCGCTTCGCCTATCCATTCGCTTCCTTCGTTTGATTCACTGCTTCTCCGCTTCGCTTTGTGGTGTGTTCCGAATAAACGTATTCATCAATACGAGTTCATCTTCTGATTTATAAACCGAGCTTAAGAACACGCAATAAATCGTCACACCACAAAATGGTGAGCCCGTCGTTCATTCATATCACTCCCTATTTGCTTCATCGATTCATTCGCTTCGCTCACCGATTCGTCACACCACAGGTTGATCAAAATAAGACATCGACACCGATTACTACCATCTCGCGGACCCCAACCAGGTAGTCGACACCTACCGACATGACTCACTCCACTTGTCAGTGACCCTACCGCTGGATGACAGCTCAGTGGTCCAGATGTGAGACATTCGCGCATAAGACCGAAGGTCCTGTCATTAGTTGTGCTTCGACACAATCACATTACGACTAACCACTATTCATCTCACTTACTGATCGCTCCCCATTCAACAAAAATCCTGACGACACACTGAATATCCCTCATACTAATCATATATATATAATATATATATATATATATACATGTACACCGTCTGCAGCACACTTGTTCGGGACGTCACATCCTAAGAACTCACTGCGAATAGGTCCTAATTTTGTAATTTTATTCTGAAATTTCGAATTTTATGTTCTCACGCCAAAGACGTTTTCTTTGACCTTCAACTAGCATCCTCCACTCGGGAGATCCTTGATTGTCATTGGTTGATGGGTCATTTTAGTACGCCATTATGTGGCTCTTATCAAGGGCGTTTCTCTCATTGTATAAATAAGCTTGAGTTGTGTGCTTGTTGACGTCGTATTTCTGGATGGGTGCCTGTGGAATACAGTCTCTACATCTTATCAAGAATTCTTACTCTAGTTAGCGGTGCCTGCAACGAACAGTCAGTCAGTTACAATGTAGAACTTCGTACATGAGTACATATGTTCAGGTTGCTATACCGCACCAGCATAGAGACGCAACTGTCAGTTCAAATCCCATAGTGGTAGCGATAGTAGAAGTATGAGCAGCTGCTACCTTGATGTGGTGATCGGGATTGCCTAACGTGATGACCCAACGGAGATGTATTGGCTGCAACATATGTTCCTGTAAGTTCTACCGTGCAAGGCAGGTCGTTTGGAGAACGGTGAGACTAAAAGCAGCTACTTAAGGTCTGAGGGTGAAGTCGTACTGCTGACTGTAGACAGATGCGACAGTAGTAAGGTGTTTCCCTCGGACGATCAACATCAACAGCGATGTTACTGCCTTCTCACAAAGAAGGGAGGGCTAAGAAAAGGTCGACTCTAAAAATGTCACACCTCACCCTACCTCACGGATTTCCGTCTCCGGCGGTAAGGCCTTTTAAACAAAAGCGGAGCTAATACTTCAAAAACTTCTCATAAAAAGGCCGTGTGTGACCGGGTCCTTAAGCAGTTGTCCCTTGAGCTCTGCCGTCACGCTCTCAGGTCTCTAAGACCAACACTAATCTACCTTCCATGGTGTGCACAGCCAGGAAGTAACATCCGCTCTCATACCCATAACAGCAAGCGACACCATACACCTGAAACGATCGGATTAGAGTAGCCTATCGCGTCACTGCATCGTTGATCTTCGTTCCGTTTATCGATTAGGCTGAACTCGTAATACACATTCAAGCATATATCAACAAAACAAATAAGAACAACATACACATAGTAAGTATCAAGAGGAAGAAGATATTGTATTCCGTAAAATACAAAAAATTCACAAATCACATATTAATAACCACTTGATTATCATCATGTTATCAGAAGGAGAAAAAAAAATTAGACAAATGAATGAATATACGATACGTCAAATAATACAACATGAACAACAGCAACAGCAACAAAAGAAAATAAAAGTAGAAAGCATTCTGATCACAATTCTTCGACAGAAAACCAATGGAACCCACAATGAGCTAGCTGGCTATACGAGTTGAAATGCCCATTGTGTAGAACACTCTAGGTGAGTGACTGGGTGTGTAGTCTGTGCATATATAAATGCATATATACGTGTGTATTTGTGTGTGTATTGGTGTGTATGAGTGTGTATGCATCAAGTGACCAGCCCATGTCTGTGTTTAGACACATGACAGTTCTGGGGAGTCAGTCAGATAAGGAGCACACAGTTAGTGATATATACACAAAATCACATAGGAACTAGATACAGTAAACAGCATTCACACATCAAATAGATAGGCAGATAAATAGATAGACAGAATGATCGATTCATTCACACATACAGGCAGAAGTGTGAACAGGACTCTTCGTCAGTCATCCAATTAGTCAATCAGTCAATGCACTGTTCCACAAATTCCAATAAACGACGACCATAGAATTCCGGTTTCACAGAACCACCATCTGAACCATGTTTCACTGTTTTGTAAGTTTGAGCTGTACGTTTACGCATTCCATAACGAGTTAGTATATCAATGATAGCCACAAAATAGATTAGTGGATGAGAGGAATCTGGAAAAAAACAGACAATATGCAACAGCGACAATAACAAGATTAGACAACATTATAGTTCATGTGAATAGTAACATTTCTCATCAATATAACATGACTTCTTTTACCATTGATACAATGCTGTTCACGTACTACACTCGAACATCTGTTAGGCAGTGCGATTTCACAAACGACTACATATGCAATCACTGGTACAGTCATCTCTCTCGGTGTGTGTGTACGTGTGGTCGTTTACTGTCAAGCTGAATACAAATGTTGGAAAACAGTTGCGTCGACATAGAACACACACAACATTGTACAACGTTCACAAGAAATCTTCTCCTATCTACCTATCAGTTATGGTGTAGACCAAGTGATCTCAATCTCACTCACATCAAATCTTTCGCTTTCAAATAGTTGATCGACCAGAACTGCCACATTCACGTGATGATCCAACCGTATTAGCTGAATTCCTTGCAACACAGTGAATCTGATCGCAGAACACGTTGGTAGTAGGGACATGTATTGCGTATGCACATCCACCGAATGCCTCGACGAGCATTGTTTTGCGATGTAGGAATAGGTTGGAAGAAAGTTAGGAGCGGCCAAACCAAAACATGGCACAAATCCATGAAGACACTGACAAGTGGACTGAGTCATGTTGGTAGATGTAGACTACCTGGTTGCTATTCGCGAGATGACAGTAATCGATGGTTAGAGACCTTGAATGACATGATTCAAAATTGTTCGCAGTGGCGCAAGTGCATCCATTCTTTGTGTCCTCTCAAATCCCAGTATTCTGAATTCTTCATCACTTTATCTTTTTCGTTTTTAAGTTTATTTCACTAGATTCTACTTCTTGAATAATATCTTCGAACCCTAATCTTCTCCATTACCGCTAATGTTTCTACTACCTTTACTACTATGGGATTTGAACTGACCTTAGCATTTTTGTGTGTTAATGTGGTATGGCAACCTGAATCGATGTACGTACGTCCGGAATTCTACGTTGTAACTTATTGAATGACTCAAAGAACACGATGAGTTTCTACTTTACACTTTACCAATGCAGTCTAACTGGAAACCTCATTTGTCACACATATTATTTATAGAAACCACAGTGAATGTTTCACACACAGTTAACAAATCTAAAACATCATCTACTTCATTTCAAACAAACATAAAAACACCAACTTTTCTCTTACCAATGGAACTTTTAATTCCATAATGTTCTATTGTAGGATGTAATTCACCTGAGAATAATTGAGGTAGACATTCTACACCAGGTGGACTATCGGGTGGAGTTAATTCACCTGAAACGAGACACACACAGAGAAAGTACATGAAGAAAGAACAATTATACAATGGAGGTGGATCTTCGTCATCTACCATGAATGATGGTCAGTTCACGTTGCCGCGACTTATCTGTCATGACCATGGTGAAAATGCAAGTTAACAAGATGAGAAGAGAACGAGAGCCACTAGTATTTTTAACAGACACATAAACAAACAAACATACCAATCGACGAGATCGCTATCTGCAGATTGATTTTCATTCATGTCACTTGAACATCCTCATTCAGATAATATGACTATTACTGAGTTGTGCAAAAAGATGAATTTCTCAACCAAGATAATTCAACTACATGTTACGATCACTATTCGAGACAAAAACACAAGAGTCATCTTCAGTCAAACACACACATCATTTCAACAATCATTTCGTTTGCTCAGTAGCACCATAGATCTTTCTCTGAATGTCAGGCATTTCGGATAAGGCATTGATTACGCATATAACAACCACGTTACGCACACTTGAAATCATCAACAGTACAATTGATAACAGATTATTGCACTACACATCCAACTTGTCATTCACAGACACACACACACACAGAAGGTATGTAATATGAGGGGACCATTGAGTCACTTCACTTCAGTATCGAGATATTCGATGATCAGAATAGTCACTTCGTAGTGAGTAAACAACTCCACTTGTAAACATGAATGCACCAACTTCCTTTACCAGCATACATAGACACATTCATACCGAAAACAATTACCACTTTCTGATAGTCAATGACATTTCGCTGCAATACACTTAGTTATGTTCGTCAGATGTATGTACATGTGTACGTGTACAGCATCATTCAATCTTGCACGTCAACACACAAATCAAGTAGGTGAACACTTCATGACTGTGAATTCATTTGTCAAACAAACTGCATGAACAATGAACGAAATCTCACAGGTCTACGCACAATTCTAATCTTCACGAATGGTGATGATCATGATGACAAGATAGAATGGTCAACCATAAATGAATTCTGTGTGTAAACAATATCAACAGTGACAACTATACAGTTTATAAAACATGATCAGTCGGGTAAATGTGTATCAACTATAATCCTGGATGAAAACAGTCAATTTCTTCTTTCAAGTTTATTTTGTGTGAACATACCAAGCATCTGTTATCTCGTGAAACTGCGTGCTGTGACAATCAAATTGCTGCATTTTGCACTACTCACCTAGACAAGTGTCTACGTATACATACATAGTACATGTTCACGCCACTATGTTAAGCAAATAACCATTTACATTCTCATATGAAATATGACACACGATATCAGTACTGCTAGCATCACCGTACGCATCAATAAACTTCACTAGCACATACCACTGTCATCTCCCTATTACGGACAAGTTCATCACATTACCACTGGTTCAGACGCATACCTACATCGAAACAGGTCTCGTCTCCGATACTGCACAATTTGGACACAAACAAGCCACCTAATTCAACAGTGGACTGACACTCGCGATGATAAACAGACACAAACAGAAAGTCACCATAAAAATATCCACCTGTTTAACATGTAACAAAATCATCAACACACACAAAAATTAACAACATACATACTTGATGGCAGTTGATGTGCATTGTTCTCTGGTATACTGATTCCATCTTCCTCTTCATCATCATCATCACCTGTACTCGCATTTCCAGTCCCAACACCAACACCAACACCACAACTAGAAGCTTCCGCAGCATCTGGACTCAGACCAAGTACAATACTCGATCTAGCCATTGACAAACGACCACTTTGCCATTGTGAGGCAAGTGTTCCCAGACCATCACCTGAAGACACTTTTCTATCATCCAAACCTCGACTGTTTGGCTCCAATACTCCTCCACCCAAACCGCCAGTTCCTTCATCATCATCACCACCGGCCTTCTCAATTAAACTATTCCGTGCAATCTCAGGATCATGTACACCAATCAGAAGACTATAGTCGATCAAATTGTTTTCTTGTAAGAACTATGGTGAAGCAAAAGAGAAATGAACAAACGAACATTTGTATAGAATGTCTACCAAAAAGACGGGAAGGAGATATCAACAATCAAATGTCCAGCATCTCCATCCATTCACTGAATACACTAACTAGTTAGTTATCTATCTAATTAACCCTTATTCATTGTAGTAAAGGTCAATCATTCACCACATGTCAGTATGATCTTATTTTACTATAAACAGTGTGAAAACACAATCCCCCACCTCATTCATAATACAGTCAAGTTAGTTATCACGTGAAGATTGCACGTAAACAATATATTCCCAGAATATCTTTCTCAACGAACACACAACAACCTGTAGGGTAGGCGTTAAACAGCACTACAACCAATATCATTTCAGTTGACAGGCATTTATCAATTGGTTCCACTCTTTAGACTCTATCTTTGCAACTAATGATCTAACATGACCAAAGGATGAATGATAATGTCGTTTCCAGCAAAGTCGAATTTCAACGTGTTTGCTTTGTATCTAAGTAAGTTAACGTAGGAGAGTTAGTATAAGAAATGTTCTGGGTATCTAGTTGTAACACACGGTTGGCAAGGGACACTCAAAATGAAATTGATTTAAAAAAAGATTAGACAATACCGATCACCTCTTTTCCCCAGATGCATCGTACACTTCCACACTCAAAGAGATGTTGACTACTGGACACACTACTGCACAAATTGTGGCGTCACACACCACCAACCCATAATGATAACAATTGACCAGCACACCACAAACACAGAAATGCAATTCTACGTAACTACAACGGTACAACAACATCTACACTATTCATCACCTCATCAATTCGTACTTTGATCATGAAGTTCAAAGTGTAAGTGTAGATAACACATTAACATATCACACCATGTGTGTGCTACACAACAACAGAGCAGCAATGCTTTGATGCCGTAACCAGTAAATACATACACACTCACGCAGCAGTGCAGCATCAGAATTGAAAGAAGATAAACAACCACAACAACAACAACAACAGAGGCGACAACAAACAAACTTTTCAAGGTTTCACTTAAATCACACGATGACGAAAAGATGTTCACCTCATTAGTGGATTAATTGATATAGAGAAGATGAATACTATAAAATGTTTCTCAAATGATTAACAACACATCATTTCAACTATTGTACAACTACTACACAATCCACCTTCAATTGAGACATACTCATCAGATCCAGGTCTCTCATACTTCATCAAAACGAAATGAAATGCATGAAATGAACCTTGTCAAGAAGGTCATGCACCACAACATCACTTTGATTGATTAACAAAAACACATAACTATAAGCACAGTGTATACTCACAAAGGACAAATCACTGAAATTATTCTTAGCTGGACATTTCCGTCAGACAACACTGAAGATTCGTCCACAATAGTAACAGTAAAAATCAACTAATCACATCGTAAAAAAAATACACCATGACTATTGGTACCAGTGATGAGGAAGGCGCAGTCAATTTAAAGCTACTTTCAAGTGTGTAATTCACTGCTAACAATAACACAAAACATATTCAGAGCATCTGTGGAACTCCGATGCATTTCGAGGTACAAATAACTGCTACTTCAAAGTGAACATAAGCACAACATGTGGTCTTATACACAGTCAGCCGGTCAGTTTCAACATAGAACCTCGTACGTAAGTACGTAAGTTCCGGTCGCCATACTACATTAGCACAGAGACACTCTTGTTAATTCAAATCCCATAGTGGTAGAGATAGAGTCAGTATTAGCGGTAATGGAGAAGATTATGGTTTGAATATGTTATTCAAGGAGTATAATCCAGTAAAATAAATTTGAGAAGAGAAAGATGTAGGTTATGGGGAAGTGAGGTTAGAATTTCAGAGAACGATTTTGAGCCATTTCGTTCAAGGTCTCTAACCATCGGTTACTATTCATCTCGAGGGCCTCAACCAAGTAGTCTACATCCAACAACATGACTCAGTTCACTTGTCAGTGACTTGATGGAATTGTGCCATGTTTTAATTTGGCCGCACTTAACTTTCTTCCAACCTACAACTACATCGCAAAACATTGTTTGTTCAGTCACAATTCAAACATGAAACTATCATACCAATAACATCGGCAAACTCGACACATTCACCCATACAATGCCAAACATACAATCTGTGAATGAATGGACCCACAGAATGATTGAACTTTATTTCCAACTGGTGGTATACAAGATATAATATTACAGTTGTAAGACATCTTTTGAAAAGAACAAAGCTACCATATGCTTGGAATATTATTCCACAAAAACATCAGCCAATCAATGATAACAGATACATGCAACAATCAACCAATCACTTACTTGTATATCACATTCCAGTGTATTTAACACCTTCTTCTTAGATTCTTCACCAATATGTATTTTGCATAAATCTGTCAGGAAATCTGCATCTTTCAATGTTGGCAAAGGTTTCGACTAGAAGACAATGATAATAATAATAATAATAACAAACCACAATTAATCAGAAAACCACAAAAACATGAGAAACGATAAAAAAAATATGCTGAGGCAAAACTGATTTAGTGTATGAGTTAGTTACATTGACGCTGATCATTTGTAGCAACTTGATCGGTCACTTTTTCAATCAAACGAAACTTTTCACAACTTCATAGTGAAAACTTACCATCACGGTGTCATCGACATGCATGCCAGTGATTCAGAGTAGCATAGATAACAACCAGGACACTGAGAGGTGTTGATTTAGAGATTACAAATGTTGAGATGTATGCATTCTATGGGAATACCAAATAAAAATTGGACAAAACTGGAAAGGGAGGCTCAGGACAGAGTAGGTTTGAGAATACTGCTCAGCAGCCAATGCGCCGTTGGGGGTAACAGGAGTAAGTAAGAAAGTAAGTAAGCCGGTGATTCATGTTACACGAGAATAGAACTCTTTCATGATTGACAACAGGTGGAAGGAAATCAGAGAGTTAGACAGCTAAGATGGTCATTAAAAGTTGAGAGAAAACCAATGCCATGTTAAATAATGTCTGATTTGGCAACATGGGACATTCATTAATATATCAAGCTACTTGATCAAATCATTAGAAGAATGATTTCTGTGCATATAAATAATGCTGTCACAAAAACTATCTACAA